TTCATTAATGTATGTATATTTTATTTTATTTTATTTTATATATGTTTATTTTATTTTATTTTATGTATATTTTATTTTATTTTATATATATTTTATATCTGAAAATATTTCCATTAGAATTAATAGTTTTAGTGATTGTAGTCCTGTAATTTTTATTTCTTACATAATTCCATTAAAATTTATAGACATATTCTGACATTTCAATTTTTACATTTATTTCTAGAAATTTTCTTAGTTTTTAATTAGTAAGCAATGTTTTTTTTTGTGCAGTGTATGCAATGCGTTGGCTTGCAGAAAACCCTCTGTTTTTGTTATTATCAGTTGTTGCTATTATTGCTGTTGGTTTTTGTTGCTAATTTGAACATTTTGCAGTGTCTAAAGCGAAAGTAAACAAGAGACAGAGCGACAGACAGCAAGGAGAACAAACAGGAGAAAGCACAGAGAGGGACGAGACAGATGCAGGGTGAGCGGGGGGACGCGGAAGAGACAGCAGGACACAACAACAAAAACGAGAGGAAAAACACACATGTGTGGGGCTCCACCCTAGAAATGTTTTTGAATAAATATTTTTAATTAAAATTTCTGCGCTGCCAAAAAAAAAAGTTGAATGGAGACAAGAACAGAGACAAGAAAAAGAAAGCAGAAAACAAATGCAGCAAAGCCATACAAGAAAATAACAGAAAAAGTGGGTAATTGTAAGCAGAAAAATGAGAGAGGGAAAACATAAGCAGGATAGAAGGGAAAATGTAGAACGAGGAAATAAATACTATAGCCGATAGAACCTCTTCAACTTCTAAAGGTCTCATCAAAAGTTCTCCGAAACTCCGAAAAAATACTCCCAAAAAACCCTCCCCACTCCCTCCTCCGATTCCACAGTCTGCCTCTGCGATTCCTTCATTCATCATTGCAGCAGTTCATAAATCTCCAAGGATACTCGTCTTTGCCATTGTCTCTCTCCATCTTTCAAGCCGCCGTTGCACGTTGCACAATCCCCCAATTTGACACAATTCTCATGCCACCACACCACTCTCCGCCTCTCTCTTTCTCTCTCTCTCTCTGTCTCTCTCACTCTCCCTCGTTGTTGCAGCAGCAATTTTCGAAACGAATTGCTAATGAAAATGTCATTTGAAAATTGCGGCACGTACCAGCGGCTGCAAAATGGGCAATTTGTTGCTGCTGCCTCGTGCCGGCGTTGCCGCAAAAGGAAGTCAAGAATAAAATATAGAAAATATAGATAAATCTGTACAGATCTAGGGAAACTGTCTACAGTTTTCCATCCACATAATTTAAAGGGAAAACGAGAGAGCAAAAAGCTAAAGTTTCGAGGCCCCAAAGAGCCTTCTCTACTCCTAGGGTAAAATCTCTTTGCAGCCGCGCAGCACATGCTCCAGTCCAGCCTGCCACTTCTTCTACTTCTTTACACCTTGTGGCAGCTATTGTCCCCCCTCTGCTCTCGTCTTCCCTCGTTAGCTGCCAAACGCTTCCCCGATTATCGCGCAAATTTTGCATTTCTCTTGCGCTTCTCCGAGTTCTCGATTTCCTTCACGCCGGTGCAAAACAAAGTGTAAAATTATTTAATGCATGTGCTTAAGAGAGGGGGTGTTGCCTGCCCCACCACCAACACCACCACCACTATAGAGTGGCAGCGAAGGGGAGTGGGTGGCTGTGGCTCTGCCTCTGACTCTAGCTATGGAGCTGAAGCTCAAGTTGGAGCCATTGATGGGCAGGCAGCGATATCATTGGCAGCATTTTCCCACTCTGTGTCTGTGCCTTTTGTAGGTGTTGCTGATTGCGGCACGTAGACGCGTCCGCACTTGAAACTGTAGCTGCAGCGAGGAGCAGCAGCGGCAGCGGCAGCGGCAAGGGGCAGGGGGCAGCCAGATAGAGGCAGGCAGGTGAGGCAAGCGATTGCGGGCAGACAGACTCAAATTCAATTTAACTTTTTTATGCAGGCAGCAGGCAACAGGCAACAGGCCACAAGGCTTCTGGCGAGGGTATATGCGTGTCGCAGAGAGAATCGTCTGCGAAGGGTGCAGCATAGATATATCTATCTATATATTTTGGATCACAATTAATATCAGAATATTTTCTATGTTAAATCAACATTTGAACTCAAAGATATCGCAAGGCAACTCTGTAAAGAAACTTCTATTTCTATTCTTAAAATAAGATATATATATATTCTTGATCTGCAGCAATATCAGAGTTCAAGATAATCCAATGAAACTCTAGTTGGTTCCTTTATTTCTTCCTTTATTTCTTCCAGGGTATCCACGTATTCCACTCTCGATAGCCCCATCCATTTCCCTCTTGTTGCTGTTGTTTTTGTTGCTGTTGTTCGGCTGTTGTAATTTTTGTTGCTTGCAACACATCTGTGCACAGATGCAATCAGGCAAAAGTCGAGGCAAAAGCTATCGATATCAGTTGTTGCTGGGAGTCAGAGTCAAAGGCAATCGTGCAACACGGCATGTTGCAGCTTGTTATTGCTTGATTGCCGCTAAAATTAAGTTGGCCGAAGCGCGCAGCACACCATGCCCCCATGCAGCATGCACCATGCAGCAGGCAGCAGTCAGCAGCAGCAGCAGAGGGAGACTTCAATGATAAATCACTTAATTGCACGGCGAAGCGCGTAAAATGGAAATTGAGCATCGAATTTCCCCTCTCCCACACACTCTTCGGTCAGCAGTGTGGAAAGAGAGCGGGGAGGAGCGGGGCGGGTAACATGAAATTGGTGTGAAATCAATGGGGGAGTAAATTGTAGAGAGGGGCGGGGTGGGGAGGGGAGTGTGTGGTTCACCCGCATCATAAAACCTCTCTAATGATTGCTTCCCACTCTTTCGTCTTCGCTATCAATATTGAAATCAATGCCTCCTTCAACAGCAGCAACAACAACAGCAGCAACAGCAACAACAACAGCAACAACAACAGCAACAACAATTGACAAATTGACACAATTGCCGATAGGCCGCTGGTCGCTGGTCGCTGATCGACGCCGCCTCATGAGTTCATTGCGAAGCGAAACCGAAACAAAGAAGAAAAGGGGCGAGTGAGTGGGAGGGGGTGGTGGAGTGAAGAGGAGGAATTAAGTCTCTATTAATTGAACAAATTTGTTCAGTAACAAGAGCAGAGCACAAGGGAGAGAGAAGCCCTGGCAGAACTTAATAGGCACCTTACGTACCCCCCAAGCCGAGAAATGTTTTGGTATGGGAAGCATTATGAGAGCAGGTAAAACTATCAAGAAGAGATCATGCATAAAGCGTACATCTCTCCGTTCAACGAATAACATATTTTATTTATTTATTTATTTATTTCTTTATTTATTTATTTATTTATTATAATATATAGGGAAGTTTACAAAACTTAGCTAACTGGGAGGTATAGCGCTAGCTGCGAGGCCTTCGGCTATGTGAATAACATCCACTGCATAGTTTATCTTGTGCTAACACAGCACCAATATGCCCAGCCAATTGTACTCCAACAGCTACTGGGCATCAAATGGTAGTCCCTCCCCCACTCTGTTGCTGGAATAGCAGCAGCAACAATTGCTTTAACGATGATGATGACGTTTGTATCTGTATCTGTATCGGTTTCGGTTTCTGAACTGTTTCTGAACTGTTGCTTCTCGGTGTCTATTGCTGTTTGTGTGGCGCAAATGTTGCCAACTTTGTTGCCACTTTATTTTATTGCCTCCCCCCAGAGGCAATGTCACACCAGCAGCACCAGCACCCCCACACCCTCCCCCATAAAAATCACAACAGAAGGCCAGGCCAGGCCAGCCCAGGGCCAGCAATCAGTGCCTGGTGCCCCTCTGGGGGGGCGAAAGTGAAACGAATGGCAGCCACAATTCTAGCACACACACACATACACACACAACACTCTTTCGCTTCGTTCCGTGTGGCAGCATCAATTAAGCAACGCAGCACCACCCCACCATCCCACCCCTTTGATAGATGCGGGTGTATCGTTTGTTTTGTCACTGATTTCATTTCGATTTCGTTTTGCAAATTGAAATCAATTGTCAGCCTAGCCCTTGCCCCCTCCCTCCACAGCCCACCCCGTGGGACTTCAATTGATGAATGGATGGGAGGGGATGGGATGGGATGGATGCAGCAGCCATTGATTGGGGCATAATGCGGTGACAATTTGACTCGCGATATTCGATTGTGTGCCCCACATATTTCCACACTTTTCCCTCTGTGGGTTCTCTGTGTGTTTTTCTTTTCTTGTTCGCTGGGAACTAAAGTTTTCCCATCTTGGGGCAACCCTTTTCCATTTCCCATTCGTTATGGAAAGCATCGCATTGATTGGCACTCTGGAATCTGGAATCAATATCCAATTAAGAGTATTTTGCGGCTGCTTAGCCATCTGCCACACCTGCCACACCTGCCACCATGCCACCTAATGCGCGTGTAACAAACGATTCGATCCCCACTTTGTTTGTCAAACGACAACTCCCCGATTCCGATTCCCCATTCGAATTCCCATTCCCAGCCAGTTCCCAAGACAGCAGAGCAGCCGCAACCCACGCAAATGTCTGTCTACAGAGGAGATACCTCTTTAATTTGGTGCAGCAGATGTATGGAGCAGACGGGAGCGTGGAGGGGGGGATACAGAGAGATGCAAAAGGGCCAACATATCTGACGATGGCGACGACGACGGCAACGACAACGGCAACTCAATTTAAGCAAACGACTGAATGACTGATTAAAGCCCCCAATGAGAGAGGAGAAGACAAAAACAAAGAGGAGAGCAAGATGCGAGATGCTGTATAGAAGCAGAGTTACCCTGGCACACAGAAGTTGCCTGCGTATTCGATTGCTCTGGAGAACACCGAAAGATGAGAAATGTTTTATGACTTTTATGAATTCAGAATTAAATGAAATCCCTAATGTAATAACAATTATTTTTCCTCTATTATTTCCTGTATTTTGCCCACCTTCTCTTATCGGAGCAGTAAAATATCCAATAAATCCTTTTTTTTTTAATAGTTAATTACTTACCCCTCAAGTAACAGGGAAATTCTCCACAATGGTCCAGGCGCAGGCTAAAAAAGACAAGAGATTTTTCATTAGTTTAAAATAATTAACAGAAAAAGAGAGAGGTACAAATTCTGCCATTTTCAGGCGCATAGAAAATCTCTTGAATCTCTGTCCTGCATTAATGCGAGGGTATCAGAGAGAGAGAGAGAGAGCGTGAGAGAGAGACAGGGAGAGGTCTCTCAATAAAGGTATTTAAAGCCCAGCCCAGAGACGAGAGACAAGAGCCAAAGCGACACACACAAATTAGCATTTCCCTTGTTGCAGCAGCAGCAGCCGCCACAGCAGAGACATCACACGGTAGAAGGGGTAGGGGGTACGGGAGGGGGTGCCCCCTGTTGCAGCCCAATTCCAAGAGTAGCCCCAACGACTGCTGGATCCGAAGTCGACTCATCATTAAAATGTGTCGTTCCAAAACCAAAAAAAAAAAAAAAAAAAAACAGAGTGTGGAGGGATGCGAGGCATGCAACAGGAGCGGTGCAGGAGCAGGATTCAAGGTGCAGGGGAGGCGCAGCGAGACACACACAACTTGATAGCGACATTCGCCTGTCGTTGTTGTCGTCGTTGTCGCTGTTGTCGTTGTCGTCAATGTCGCATCGCTGCCTGCAACAAAGAGGCCGCCGCTTGAGGGAAAAATGCGAACGAAACTGCGATACTCCCACAGAGCGCTGCACCTGTCCTCCAAGCACATCCCCCTGTCCCCCTGTCCACCTCTCTCTCTCTCGCTCTCGCTCTCTGGCACTGTGTCCTCAAGTGTCCTCCATCCTTCGACTTTGTCCGTGGGGCACGTCATTTAAATTACATTAAATTGTTGGCTGGCTGTTGGCTGTTGGTTGTTGCTGTGCTGTGACCATGAAAACGCAGCGGCAAATAAATTCGTTAAAATAACTCGAAAAAAAAAAAGAAAACAAAAAAATGAACGCTGCAGAGCTGCCTCAGAGATTTGCTGCTGGCCTGCCACAAAGTGGAGCACACAGTCCGCACCGAAAGGGGCAGCAATTTATGCGGCAGCAACAGTTGTGGGGCAGCCAGCGGCTGGCTGACTGCCTGACTGCCTGACTGGCTGGCTGGCATTTGATTTGCAACACAAACAATGACAAGAGGCAACAAATTTCATGAATGAAAGATTGTGGCGGACAGGAAGTGCCTCTGCTGCTGCCGCTGCTGCTGCTGCCGCATAACGGACGCGGAGGTGGAAAGGATGTTGGTTGTTGCTGCCACTCGTTCCTGCTGCTGCTGGCTGCTGCTGGCTGCTGGCTGCTGCTTGTTGATTGTCTGTCGATAGGCGCGTTGTTTTGTCAGTGGGTTGCACACACAAAAATGTTGCTCAATCAGCATGCATAATGCAACAACCGGTGGCAGCCACATCCATCCATCGCTGCCGAAGGCGGGGGAGGGGGAGGGGGAGTTGCAACCGGAGACAACTCCACACGACGAGGGTGGCTCTTGTAGTTCTCTCTGCCACAAATTGAAGGCAGTAACTGCAGGCAGCCGAAAGAAAGGAGAAGGAGAATGGAGAGTGGAGGCCAGGCCAATTATCCGCCGCTTGGACATTGACATTGCCATTGCCTCCTCGTCCTCAATGGAGATGCCACAGCCGAGACGGACACTCCTTTTAAGGCGAGGGTTAACGAAGCGCTGCGCAGCGCTGCGCTCGTTGCACTTGTATTGTAATTATTGGTTGCATTCGGCGGCGTTAATTTTGTGGCGGCTGGCGGCACCTGCAATGCCAATGCCAGTGCCAATGCACTTCGGCAAGGCAACCCTTTCGTCAGTTTGCAATCATTTTAATTCAATTTACAAGTCGATTCTCCCGCTGCTGCTGCTGCTGCTGGCTCCTTCTTTGAGGCATTTTCTTTCCATTGGAAATGGAATTTCCCTCTCGATTCTCCGTTTGTCTGTGGCTTTGGCTTTATTTTGGATCTGCTGCTAAATTAAGATTCCATTAGTTTTGCGGACTGCTCCTTGGGGTCTGCACTCCTCCTGCTGGCTGCTGTCTCCTTTGGAATCTTAGAAATGCCTCAGCACTGGCGATAAATCTCGCAAGTGTCAAATGATGGCTGCAGTCGCGCCTCCTCCTCGCTAAGTGCCTGCTGGCTGCTTCTGGCTGCTGCTGCTGCTGCCTTGCCAAACGATTCTCAATTCATTCCTCCCGCTCCCCCTCTCTCTATCCCACTCTCTTGTTGCTATTTCTCAATTTCTCTAACATCCAAAGGAATGAATCGAAAGGAGAGCGCAAAGATGGAGCGTGCAGTGCAGGGCGAAACAATTGAAACGTGTGTCGTAGACAATAAATTCCAAACTACAATAAATTATTGCTATAAATATTTCGCCAAAGCTTCCATTCTACGCGCCTTCCTTGCCCCCTCCCCACCCCTCCCCAACCAAGCAAGCACTCAGCAAAGGAAGCAGAATGACACGACTGTCAGACAGAGTGTCGTTGTCGCTTGATGTAGCGAGTGTGAGGGAGGGGCAGGGGTCGCTCGGAGTGAGGCCGAAAATTAAATTAGCAATCGAAAAGGGAATTGGCGGAAGAGGGGCATAGATGGGAGTACTGATAAATTATTGATAACTGCAATTATTGAGACAATAAAAATAGAAAAATAAAAAAAATAAAAATACAAAAAAATAAAATAATCATTTTAAATAAAAAGCTGATGCGGCGGTGACTGCAGAAGGCTTTTTATGAGTGAGTGAGATGGGTGGATGGGAGAGGGCAAGAAGGCGGATGAGAGATGGTAGCAAGAGCAAGAGGTGACTCCTGGACGCTGTGTCTGTGCCATGAGAGAGCTGAGGGATGAGGGAGAACAAGGGGTACCGGGTACGGGTACAGCAACTACTACCCGAGGGTTACCCTCGCCAAAAGCAAATCCTTTTATGGCCTCAACAAAAATAAATCATCTCTCCGACCGCTGCGGACGCACAATGATGAAATTATTATTTATGCAGTCTGCAGATACATATCTCTACACTCCCCATTCCCCGCTCTTCGCGCACTCCATCGCTATACACTATATGTACGACGGTGCGTGTCGAGTGCTCCAGTTAATATTGAATAAAGTTTACACGGCAGATACCCTGTCGGTGTGGCATCCACTCTCTTTCGTGATCTGTTTTTGCACAAGGAGTGCGAAGGAGTGCCTTCTGAGGTGTATATCTATTCCTTGATGATTATTTTCTGTGGGTCATAGTCCAATGTACACGACTCCGGCGAAGAGACCTCCCCACCCAGCATAATACTTAGCTAGGGACGTACTCTAGGTAATTAAATCTAATTAATTAAATAAATATATTAGGTCAAGATTTGCATACTTGTCGTAAGTCTCTATTAGGGAAAGATTTAAGGAATAAAATACGTAAAAAAATGTACAATGTAATGGAACGCTTCGCAGTATTAACGGAATACTTTCAGCGAGGGGAATTTTCAACCAATTATGTCTATATATTTCTGACTATACCCTAAGATATCCATGACTTATCTCTAACCTTTCTAGGGTATTCAACCGCTCTCCACTTCTCCAGTAGTCGCCGTTCTCCGCATAGTAGCACTGCCACCTCCTGCCCCCTCCCACCCAGGAGAGACTCACAGCTGAAGTTTACTTCGTTTTTCGGAGGCCACTTGTTGCTCCTCGGATGCTGTGCCGCTCCACCACTCCTCTCTCTCTCTCACCATCTCTCTCTCTCCACACACTCAGAGACTGTTGTTGCATTTGGGGTTTTGTCGCCGTGTGGAAGGAATGATTGCATGCAACATTTACCGTATTAATAAATTATGAGCATATTTATGTGCTGTCAGAAGTCGTGACGGCAGAGCGACGGCACAAAGTGATAAAATTAGCACAAAAACAACAACAACAACAACAGCAACAACAACAAGAAATCACAGTGCGTATTGCTATTGCTATCTCTTTCTTTCACCATAAATACATACATACATATATTTATCTCTTTCACAGCAGTGTATCTCTCTCTCTCTCTCTCTTACTTGCTCTGTCTCTGTCTCTCTCTCTCTTTCTGTCTCGTTTTGTTTTGTTGCAAGAGTCGTAAATAAAATATGCGTTTTTGTGTTTCTGTTTCTGTTTGCCAATTGAATGTCTTCATAAAGCGGGCGGGCGGCACAAAACCAAAACAATTGGAAATTTATGCTCGTTCCATATATGGGGAGCTGAGCTCCATCGAGCGGAGTAGCAAGCAGCAGCAGCAGCAGCAGCAGCTCTACATAACTGTAAGCCACAAGGCGACAGAAACAACAAACAGTGCAACAGGTGCAAAGAGTTTGTGGCGCAGGCGAAGCAGGCGAATGGCAGAGAGGCGCACGAGGTGCAGTGGTGCCGAGATGGAGAGGCAGTCAGTCAGAGTCAGGCGGGAGGCTGGGCGGCTGGGCGGCTGGGCGGCTGGGCGGCTGGCTGCTTGCTGACTCCAATTCCGATCCGATCCGAATGAGATCTTGTAATACGTCCTGCAGCAACACGCTTATAACAAGAGCAACAACAGCAAACAGACAACAGTGCAGCAGGGGAGGCAGACAAGGAAGACTAGAAAGTATAGTCGAGCCATTGGATACCCTGCAAAGATAGCCAAAGGAGAACTGCTTGCTTTGCTCTCTTTTATTTTATTTATTTTTTTATTTATTTTATTTTTTTTTACCATCACTAATACCTCTGTTCCATTCCATTCCAGCATTCCCTAGGGCAACAATGTTGCTTATCTGTACAGAAAAGTTCCCCTAAGCGAAAGGAGTTCGTACTGTGGAAACTCGAGAGGTGCATTTTCTGGCTACAATTGGAAGGTAAAAATGATTCGGAATGGATGTCCCATCTACCATCCTTCGCTGCATAACAAAACCATCCTTTTTGGCAAAGGGTATCTGTGTATAAAACACAACTTTCCTGCGCGTGTGTGTGTGTGTGTGTGTGTGTGTCTTTTGACACTTTGGCGCATTTGACACTCAACGCGCGCATTCACTTTAAATCTAAATTTACTGATATCTGCGTACAAAATAGTATCA